TTGTCTAACACACTGACAGCATTTATTTCTTGATAATAACTGAATCGGCAAAAAGTACTAACCTTTGGATGCTTTTTTTCCCGCAGTAGTTTGCCATTTCTTTCTACGGTAGATCAGTTACCTGGTCATAGAACTCGGTCTGTCCTGCTATTTATCCATAGCTGGGGGGGGGTTCATATCTTTCCCTTTAGCACGTAAGTGAATCCGAGCCGCTATCCATTACTCCACCGTGCCTCCCCTGATTAATTAATGTATATATCCATTAAGAAAAACCTTTATCAAACGAATTACAATCGCTTTTAAAATTTCTTATGAAGATACAATAAAAAATATTGTATAAAAATTACGATGTGAAAAATTAAGTGAACCCTTTCATTTCCACTTTATTTTTGTTTTCCATGGTTACTAGTGCAAATAATGTTTTGTGCAAGTCCATGACACGTGTTCCTTTTTATTTGGTAAGTTGTGGATATTACAGTCAACCTCATTGTATAGACAAAAGGGTGCAGTTAGGGACTAAATGTTAAAAAAGAACTTCCTGAAGCTTTAAACAATAGCGCAGTTGAAGCCTATAATGATGGAGAAGGCTACAAAAAGCTATAAAAACTAAATGGAATACACGTCTCCAGCGTGCAAGAAATTATTTATAAATGGAAGGCTGATGGCATCGCAATCAAGAAGGGGTCCGTCACGAAAAATAAACAATCCAAAAACTGCAAGGGCAAGTAGACATCAAGTTAGGCAAACCCAGGCCAATCCTGTTATGAATTCTGCGGTTTTCCAACACTCCCTGGCCAATATCGAAATCAATGTGCATACGCCTTCAGTTTGAAGAAATCTAAACGATGCGGGTCTTCATGACAAAATTCCTAGAAAAGAGCTCGTGTTTACGGAAAGCATAAACAAGCTCGAATCACCGAAAGCTAATATTAATAAGCTAGACACTGTTACAGTTTTTTGTGTATATATGCATGTAACTAGTGAGTTAGTCAAAATGACTTAACTCCCTTTATAGTCTACCAATAGAAGGTTAACCAATCAGAAGCCGCAGAACATTCTATCCGTCGTGTATAAAGGCGGCCATTTTTGTTTACCCTACCCAAATGACCAGTGCCAACTTGTCAGGCGTAGAAGAAACAGAAGGAAGTACTACGCTCTGCTACTTTGCTCCGAAATATTCACTGCCTTTGATGCCATCGGGTATGGTTAGAACTGGTACAACCAAAGAATGTAGTTCGTCTGAAGCCTTTATGTATTCGATTCAAGAAATAGTTTGCAAAAAGAAAAAACGTGTCTTTTTTTTTTGTCTGGAGCTGAGAAAAGTTTATACGTCGTAAATTTTCTGGAAAGTATCACTATTTATTTTTCTAATAATGAATGTTTGTGTAGATGAAGTCCACTAGCCGGGGAAGGCAGTCAATCTAGGGGAAGGAAAACTCCGATTTGCAGTCATATCCAAAACACGGTAAAGGCTATGGAAATAAACCCGGAGTGAAGACTCGTAGGCGGTTAACTGTCTGTATGGACAACATTTCGACAATTCCTGCAGCCAAGCCGTACCCCAAATGTACACCTTTGAATCTTGTCGGTACGGACGAGATGGGTGAATGTAGTCTGAGCAGCTCACGGCCTCCATTTACGATCACCAGTCTAAGAGAAGGAAAACTCTGAATTCAAAACAACACTTCCTTGTAGATCTTGCTTCTTAACTTCTAAGAGGAAGGATGGGATAAACTCAACATCGCCAAGGTAAAGAAAACCGGCAAGCCATTGCCCTATTTTGCCTTGAATGTCACCATGAATCACAATTGTGAGATGGAGGGGAGTGATGACCACAGCGGCGTAAAATCAATAATGAATGCAAAATAACACCGATTTTTGTGATTTGATGACAATGGAATATTCATATTAAATATGGAATTCTTCATTCAAATTGCTAAGGCGCATCTTGTATCTTACACGAAAAAATCTCTTAGAAAGAATGAAAAGAGCTAACTTACAGATTCGTGCGTCTGTGTGTGTGTGTCTGTTTGCATATTAATCTGCATATATTAAACTTTAAATAAAAGACACATTTGTATACTTCGTGTCATAAATGATGACACATGTGAGATATTCATATTCATCAACTGGTAAGTAACTAGTGTTGAGGCCTTAAATACGTGCGTATACACTCGCACACACGCACTGACACTGATATATATTAAGGAGTTAATCAGTTTTGATCTGTAGTTTGACATTATTGTGACGATATAAATTATATTTAGTGGACACACGTGGTTGAAGAGACGGTCCCGCTCATCAAACAATATATTTTCCGTTCAGTAAGTCAAGATTTTTCAACAGGAATTTTTCCTGATTAAAAGACACTCAAAAATCCAGGACGTTAGAATAAAATACACTAATTAAAGGCAGAAACACACACACACACACACACACACACACACACACACACACACACACACAATATATATATATATATATATATATATATATATATATATATATATATATATCAAATATGTGGTGCAGTTCAATTTTTATTACATGAATCATTCATACAAAAAGTAGATTAGTTAATGATATAAATGGCGAAAAACATCTTACGAACCACTCGATTAATGTTATGATCCTTGTTTTTAATAACTTCAAGTTGTATAAGGTCTTTTTTAATTCTGCTAGTACTTTCGGCTGTACATGCAGTCATCCTCAGGCATGGAATTTTTTTTTTTTTAGTCTATTCAGGTTGTAGCGGGACACGAAAGATTAAATGCGAATCGAAATGCGTTTTTTTTTTCTTTTTTTTTTTTTAGAAATGTTTTATTGTTAACGGATAAGAAATTTTGGAGCGTGCAGTCGCAACGCTGAGGTTGAATTTTTTTTGAAAATTTAAGAGAGTGCGTTTTTTACTAATATGGTAATTTGAAAATTTTCTTGTTGCTCTCAAATTACACATATATATTTTAAGACACTTTTTATGTTTATACGTTCTTTTTATAGATACAAATATTTAAGTGAATGCTTTGTTTATAATAAACAGTGTTAACGACATTTACCGGCCTGAATGTCCGAGAAATTTTCATAGAAAATATACGTCCTCCGACAGGAATTGAACCTGTATCCTATACGGAACCGTCATATAGTTTGACGTGCCTTTAACCGATTTGTTGGCAAGGTCGAATTTACTACCTTTAATCTTCAATCTTCCACAGAGGAGCGTTTCGGTTAGCAAGGTCGATTTTACTGTTTTTAAACTACAATTCTCCATGATTTTCTCACGTACATTCATATCTGCTCGATGCGTATCCAAATGTAAACAAATAACGTCACACATTAAGAAATTATTTTAAGACATTTTTTATGTTTTTATGTTTATTATAAACAGAGCATTTACTTAAATATTTGTTTCTATAAAAAGAACGTATAAACATTAAAAATGTCTTAAAATAATTGTCGCACTTTGTCCATTTACATACATACATTGCATACATATATATATATATATATATATATATATATATATATATATATATATATATATGACATAATTATATATGTTTTACATATCAAAAACAGTATTGGTAAAATTGTATGAAAAATGGAAAGTTGCTCAGTTATGAATACATTGGGGCAGGCATAAAACGATTTTAATATGTTCTCTTTGTAGTTGAATAACTCAATTTTTTTTTATCAGTGTTTCTTACGACAAATGGTGTCAAGATGGCTAAACGTCTTATCTGAAAACCAGGAAAAAGAAACTCAGTCAGTTTAGAGTTTTTTTTTAGGTAGTAAACATTTTGTGGAATGGCTAATTATACTATAACACGATTTGGACAATTTTGCTCTTACACCCGGTATATGTATAGAGAGTGTCGGCATAGAAATCTCCGTTGCGTGTTAGTTTCATGTTTTATTGTAATCTTTTGACAGATAGATAGATAGATAGATAGATAGATAGATAGATAGATAGATAGATAGATATGAACAGAGGCATATGCATAGGAATAGAGCAGAGATACAGCCACACATTAGATAGATAGATAGATAGATAGATAGATAGATAGATAGATGTTAGGGATGTGTATTTCGGTAGATTCTGTTTCGTCATTTCGCGCTAATGCTTTGGAAAATGTCTAAAGCCACCTTCCTCCAAGTATAGTAAAGCAGTCTGAGGTCTCTTGCTTTGTATGGGAATCAGCCTAGGAGAAGAAACATTGTTCAGGCATTTGATGATATACTGTGTACCATTTCTCTGTTATGAGTTCTGAAATGTGTGGCTGGTTTACACAATCCTTCACCGCTATTATCAAATTTGCTGACGATTCAGTTCTAAAGTAATAACCTAAAATTCCATGCATTCGTACATGTCCCTTTTTATATTTTCATTCTCGCTATCCTATATATATATATATATATATATATATATATAAATAAATCAAAGAAATCCCTTTAGCTCATATGGGGAATAGTCTATTTCGGCAGACGACGAAAATGGTCGTCTTTCATTTGAACCCTGGAGTGGAATGAAGTTCATGATAAGGTGGAATTATTAATTATATAGCTATTTATAAACAAAATACATCGAACTCACTTGGATTATATACCAACGGATTTTTTTACCTTACTATATATATATATATATATATATATATATATATATATATATATATATATATGAAATGGACAAAGTCCGACAATCATTTTAAAAATTTTATGTTTATACATTCTTTTTATAGAAACAAATATTTAATTAAATGCTCTGTTTATAATAAGCAGTATTAAACAACATTTACCGGCTTGAATGTCCGAGAAATTTTCATAGAAAAAAAAAAAATATATATATATATATATATATGAGATATTTTATTTTAAATACAAACTATATTTTAAATAAGTTATTTTTTAAACCTGTAATCTCTATATAATACATGGACCGCGCCATGTATTGCGTTAACTAGATATTTTTATTGAAATTTAAATTATGTAACGCTCTGTCTCTGCTCACGCCCTGTCTCTACTCACCACCTGAAGAATGCGTTGTGCATGAAACTCGAAGTCATGCTATTTCTGTGAGAGATATGTATATTTATTATTATTATTACTATTATTATTATTATCATTATTATTATTATCATTATTATCATTATTATTATTATTATCATTATTATTATTATTTTTCATTTTCTTTGATTTCTGGCGTTTACACATTTCTTTCCGGGTCCCGCCCAGGGACCTAAGGTTAGAAATAGCATCATGACACTTTCCACTGTCAAAACAAAAAAAAAATTACATCGATAAAGCCCTTCGTAAAGTGTGGGCTGTACTTGTCAGGACAATTTTTTGTATCTCCTTGAGGCATGGACTTCCAAGAATCCCTTCAATTAGTCTACTGCAATCTTTTCCAACCAGTCCTAGGGCTCCAACTACAACAGGGATTGATGATGTTCCCATATGCCGCATTTTCGAGATTTCTATTTCACGGTCCTTGATACATTGCAGTCAGCAGGGACTACCATATCAATAAGGAGGCACTGTTTTTGTTTGTGGTCTTTTATTATTATTATTATTATTATTATTATTATTATTATTATTATTATTATCACCATTATTATTCTTATTCTTATTCTTTTCTTCTTCTTCTTCTTCTTCTTATTATTATTATTATTATTATTATATGTATTAAGAGTGCGTAATAGTTTCTTGTAATATGACGATGGCATTATGATTATAGCATAGAAAAGAAACTACAAGCAATCCAAACGATGGTATTGAAGGTAAGTGAGAAGAAAGGACTAAACATCAATTGTAAGAAGATAGAATACATGGTTGTTAGCAAAACAGACAACCCAGCATGCAAATTACAAATTGGAGATACCAAAAATCAAACATGTACAATAATTTAAATATCTGGGAAGTGTTTTAACGGAGAATGGGTTCTACTTGTTCAAATATATTAGAGGCAAGAGGAATAAAGGTAAACACAGCATAACCTACCTGACGGGCTTGTGTCAATGGATGGCAGAATAGGGTTTAGGAGAGATAGCAAAAAGATCAAATTTACTAAGAGTTACAAAGGATAGGGAATTTTGGAGAGTCATGATCGCTAACATCCTGAAGGGATACGGCATATAGAAGTGTTTTCTCCGTTTTTTATTTAAAACAAAGGTTTCTTTGGTATATTCAGTCACTAGTTTTCAATAAAATGATAGCTGGAAACTTTCTTTTGCACCTACATATGTATCATTTTGCGCCTACATATATTTAATTTTGCGCCCATATATATATATATATATATATATATATATATATATATATATATATATATATATATATATATATATATATATATATATATATATATATATATATATATTTATATATATAAAAAAAAAAGTTTTTATGTTTATACATTTTTTTATAGATACAAATATTTAAGTAAATGCTCTGTTTATAATAAACAGTATTAACCGGCCTGAATTTTCCGAGAAATTGTAATAGAAAATATGCGTCCTCCGACAGGAATCGAACCTGTATCCTATACGGAACACGTCATAAAGCCTGACGTGCTTTTACCGATTTTATTACAGAGGAGCGTTTAATTAGCAAGGTCGATTTTACTCTTTTTATAAACAAAGCATTTACTTCTATCTATCTATCTATCTATCTATCTATATATATATATATATATATATATATAAATAATTATTTATTTAAAAAAAAATTATAACATAAACATGTTATAAAATCACTACAAAAATAGCCATTTTGTTTCAAAACTCCCGGTGTCTTATCAAGTGATGATGTTGAATGCAAAACAAATGGTTTTAAAAGTTTCAAATTCGTTAACGATCTTTCACAAGGGGGAAACGTTGTTACAAAAGCTAGAATGACCAATCAAAATACAAGTATAGGAAAATTCAAAAAGCCTGACAACGAAGCCATGTTATAATAGTTATTCAGATCGTTAAAATACGGGTAAAATTTAAAAAAGAATTTATTCTAACCAATAATTATTAAATTATATGATAGAATTTGATATTAAAATTAAAAACTGCCAATTTCAAAATCCAAATTTAATCAGTATTAAGTCTAAAATTATAAAATTACCGAGGAGAAAAGGGGAAATACATATGTTATTCAATTCATTTCTTCGTTGAAATTACGTTAGAATAAGACGTTACTCCATCCGGTCCTTTAAAAAAAAAAAATACAAGCAATACATTTTTAAAAATATTACCAGAAATACATTTTAAAAACATTACCAGCAATATATTTACTCACGACAAAAACGATCTTTACAAAAATACGTCCGTGAAACCTGATGTACAAATTAATTTCTTACAAAGACTACATATTCTATTCATACGAACCTATCCTAAAAATCTTGTCGGCATTAAATAACCCATTGAGTTTGATATGCCGTAAAACAAAATAAACCAAACCAATATTTATATTTTAATTTGGGATTAATTTATGTACTATATAACATTTTTAATATTT